CAATACCAAAACCTTACTGGTTCCTAGTAGGGAATACGGGAATATAATCACTATGTAATTCCCATATAGTACATTCCCTTATTCCCAACTTACCTCCAGTAAGAAATGCTCATTCAGATCTGCAGTCAAGGATTGCTGGGGTGCGACAGTTGCTCAGAATGAATGTCATGCAGAAGCTTAAAAAGCTGGGAAGAAGTTTTCGGGCTTAGGATTCACCCCTAAACCCCCCATATGCTTGCTGCATGATATATGCCCAAACGCCGCTCCAATAATTTAGGCCCCTCCAGTACCCTCAGAAAAATTACTGGAATGAAGATCTCGATAAGAATCTTCTCGGGTGATTAAACCCAACAGAAAAATATACTTCTTGTAGTATGAAGTGCTAGAAGAAGCAAAGGAAGCACCTAATCTTACTACATCCTGAAGACTACAGCATCCGAATTGAAAATCTACTTTCATGCGTATTCATCAAGAATGCTTCTTAGTCGTTTGTACAGGCAAACCCGACTCCTAAGCAGCAAACCCTAAACCCTCGAGGAGTAATGTGATAGTCAGAGTGGGGCAACCCCGAATCCGAAATCCGGTCGTTCTACCATTACGACTACTATGACTACCATTACTATTACAATATTAGTACTATCACTACTATTACAACTACTATTACTAATCTTACTACTATTACTGCTATTCCTACTATTACTACTATTTCCATTTCAGTATTACCTTTTTCTATTATTGCGATAATTACCACTACTATCATTACCCGCTCTACCCTGTACTTGTAATCCCAGTCTCCATGGCATTGTCCGTTTTCTTCTCCAGTTTCCAGTTTATTCTCCAGTATTGGGGTAATATCCCTATATAACCCTATATCCCCTTTTAAACGGCCCAGTTTGGGAAAGCCCCTTTATGAAGGCCCTCAGCCAAAAACCCTAAACCCTGGACGACTGAACCCAAGCACCTGCAGTGCGCAACCACGAGCCACTGACTCGTCGGCGTTCATCGTGGTGGACAGCTCCTGTTTAGGTTGAGGGTTTGGGAGCTTAAGGTTTAGGGTTCTGGGATTGGGATGTGGGGCTTCAGGGATATTGGTATGCTTAAGTGGATCAAGCTCGAACGTGCAAAACCTATATCTGCACATTTTTGAGGCTTAGAGTTTAGAATGCCGTGAGCTCAATATGAGGGATCTGAAGTGTCCCGTACCCTAAACCCTAGGCCCGTAAACCCTAGACCGGAGCAGGGGAAACCCAGGCCTCCTTCCCAGCACAAAGTCGGATTTGAATTCATCGTAACGAAGCAGCAGGAAAACTTTTAAAGACACCCTCACTGGACAACACTCCTTGAAAACCGTAACCCTTTAACCCTTAAACCCCAAACCTTAAACCTTAAACCTAAATACACCGTTCAACCCTAAAACCTAAACCCCTACAACCCTAAACCCAAGAGGCCACCTCTAAATCTGCCACCCTCATCCTCAAATGAATAAAAGGTTTTAGTTATTTCAATTCCTAAAATTGAGACCCCAGTACAATCACATGATAGCTACAGGGTCCTTACTGTAGCGGCTGGGGTAGCTGAATCCCATCATTGTAAGCCCCAAACCGTCCACCCCAAACCCTGAACCCTAAGCCGCAAACCCTCAACCCTAAACCCCAAACCCTCAAGCCCAGCCTCACTCGCTCAAAATCCCTGGGTTCTCTGCGGGCAATAACCAAAAATTGCCCCCCAAGATGTAAAAGCTTAATTACGTGGCACTTGGGACCTCTGCTGAAAAGTCAACACTTAGCTACCTATAATAGGAGTATAAGGGAATCCCAGAGGGTTAAGTGTCTAAAGTCCAAGCTAAGTTTCAAGGAGTTAACTTAGGGGTACCTTTTGGGGAATATAGGGGCTATTTAGGATTTAGGGCTTAGGGCTTCCCGAAATGGGGTACCTTTTTGGGTTCCCCATTAAATATAAGGATAAAAGAATTTGGGGGTCTCTATTTAGGTCCCCCTGTTTAGGGGAAAATACCAAACAGCTACCGGCTTCGAACCACGTACTGTGAAAACACGCTGTTTAGGGCTTGAGGTTTCGGGGTCTAGGATCTAAGGTTTAGGGGTTTGTTTTTTTTGTTTTTTGTGGTGCCTTTTCTCCACAGCACGAAAGTCCCGTGGAAATGTCCATAAGACACAGTACAGGGCTGAAAGGAGTGTTGTGCCTCCGTAGTTTGCCTCTTTGGTGAGTAGAGTACAGTGTGCATCGTGTGGAGTTTCCTTCCTGAGCTTGTGCCTGTCTCAATTGATGGGTTCTCGTGGGGTTGGAGTCCAGGCTGAGTGTACTGGAACGGGCCACGCCTGGGTTCCTTTCTGATGGGCTGACACAGCTGTAAGGGCTGCAGGGTTTGGGGTTTAGGGTCTAGGGTTTAGGCCCTATGGTGCAGGGTTCACGGCCTAGAGTTTACATTTGGTATGTACATTCCTCATAGAAGCATGAAATCTCAGAAGCTCAAAGAGACCCTATGAGATTTTTCCAGAAACCCCTCAGGCCTCGAAACCCTCAACCCGGAAACCCTTCACCCTGAATCCATAGTCCCCCTTCAGTAGATAGAATATGGGGTATATGGGGATCTTATTATAAAATGCCCAAAGCCATATTCTATCTACTTAAGGGGGACTACAAACTTCCTAAACCCCTCCTAAACCCTATCAAAGTAATAACTCGGAGCAGTCCTTGCCACCGAAAGCCTTGGAGCAGAACTCCTGATTCAGGGGGCTTCGTGCATGTGATCCCTAAACCCTAAACCTTAATCCCGAAACCCTAATCCCTACACCCTAAACCCAAATCCCTAAACCCAAATCCCTAAACCCTAAACCGTAATGCGGTTGCGGGTTAGGCTTTGGGCCTTGAGTTCGGGGCTAAGGTTTAAGAATTTTTGACTCAGGGTTTGGGGTTTGAGCGGTTTGCCTGGGCTTGCGGCTACCTTACTTTGAAAAATCTATCACGAACTTGTCCCTGTCAGCCTAAAAGTCCAGCAGTGATGAAGAGCTTAAGTCACGATATGATCTTCTTGGACAAATTATGACTGTATGAAGGGCTAAAGATTGTTCAGTGCTTCAACCTCAGATAATTCTCTCTGCACCATAACTTCTTGCTTGTGGGGAATGGAAATGGATCCCCGAAACAGCCCCTGTACAGTGCCCCATATAGCAACTTGCATTTGCTTTTCCATTCCTCTCATTTCCGACCAGCCGCAGTAAGCTATACCTGCGGCCTAAACTCGGACAAACTCGGTATGTCCCTCTTCTCATTTCATTTCCCATCTGCTTTTCCAATTTATTCTGAATTATTGAGCAAGAAACCCCTGAAGCCTGAATCCTAAACCCTCAGCAGGATAAGCCCAGCCCACCTTGACCCATGGAACACGGGATGCGCCACCAATCATCTCCACGAAATCAATCCTGATGATCTTATTAGGGAGTAAATATATTCCCTACTAAACCCCGATCATTTTGGGGTTCAGGGTTAGGATTTAAGTTAAAGGGCTTATAAAAGGGCGTGGGCAAGGTTAAGAATCTACGGCAAGGTTGGGCCCTCACCTTCTGATAGTGACCACTGAGATAACGATTAACGCGGTTTAGGGTCTAGGGTTTCGACCAATTTACTGACAGTGGTATTAGGCGCTAAACCCGAAACCCTAAACCAGCATCAGTGGGCCAGGACCTAACCCAAGTCCATTTGCAAGAAATTGGCAGGCAGCAGGCTCATGTTGATAGGGGGTAGGCAGTTAGCGCGATCATTCTGGAAAGCCTCGAAATGGCCAAAGACTGCCAAGATAGCCGGTAGGGAATCAAGGACTGGAATGGCTTGAAATGAAGTTCCATTTGCATTGCCCCGAGAAGCATGTCTTGAGGTCTTCTAATGGCCCAATTTGCCTAAAACCTCCGTCAACCCTCCCCCCCTTGAAAATTTAGGGTTTAGAGTTTAGGGTTTAGGGTTTAGGGTTCTTGAACCGCAAAAACCGAAGAGTGGCTTTGAATTGGAAGCTAGAAGGTTACTGAAGGCCTTTGCGTCGGGACCCCAAAACCTAAGCCCCAAACCCTAGACCTGCACACTACGCCCCAAACCCTCAAAATCCCAAACTCTATACCCTAAATTCCAAACCCTCAAAACCAACCTAAATCCCCAACCGCAATTCTCAGCCCCAGTCCCGCGGTGGTGAACAGCAATAACAAAACAATGGCCGGCGGTTTAAGGTTTAGAGTTTAGGCCTTCTTGGGGGGTCCGCTTGATAACGAAAACGAATATGGGAATACATAGGGAACGGGGCTTCAGATTTGCCTGTTGAGTTTGAGTCTGAATACTTTAGGCTAGACTTCAAGGCTAGAGTTTCTGGAATTCCCATTTTTTGGAGGCGACCACATTTGCACACACATGAAAGTAACAGTAAATAGTACAACAGCGCCAAATCCTAAATCCGATTCCTGAGCCCTAGACCCCAAATCCCGATTCGCAAATCCCAACCTTGAACTGTAACTTAATCCCGAATCCTGTATCTCCTGATCCGAACCCGTTCTGATCCCTAGGCCTTGAAACCCTCGTCCCGGAACCTTACTTGGAGGTGCATGTTTTCTTTTAATCCAATGAACGGAGGCTTAAGGCGTATAGTGTACTTGGAGCCCCATGGGAACGTGTGACCTGGTTATACCTGCACTTGTAACCCAACTATAACCAACCACGATACGAGGGACGTAGCGGAACATATGGTAACTGGGCTATAAGTACAGTTATAAGTAGGTTATGCTTACTAACACTATTGTGAAAGCACGGTATCCATTTAATTTGCAACTTGGGGTTCCATTTGGTTTCAGCGCTGGGCGACTGCAAGCAATCCTAAACCCTAAACCCCAACCATTAAACCCTAACCTAAACCTCGTATTTCTCCCATAGAATATAGCTCTCAAATCCCCTGTAAAAACCCAATAAACCCCTATGACAAATAGTATTTACGTCCCAGGCGCTGCTCAGTGGTGATGCCAGCAGCTGCTGCAGCCGCCTTGGCGCTCTCCAGCACCGCGGTGACCCTGAATGCGGGGAGTTTACGGTGTAGGGTTTAGGGTTAGGGGGTTTAGGGCTTAGGGATGCTCAGGATTTGTAGGAATATGTAGGGATTACAGGAGATTGCAGGGGCCCCCCTTGGGGGTAAGTAGACGTGAGATGAACGATGCAACCGTCCATGCCTGAGACACAAATCCTGGCCTTCACTTCAAGCCTTAAACCTTGACAGCGTTGAGAATCAGTCCCTAAACGCACGCAGTGGAGGACCTGTGTAAGCATGCAAAAGGAGGACTGCAAGCAACTAGTAACATGGAAGTACCAAAAACAATACAGTTGTCGTCGGCGGCGTTGGCATCGCGTCTACGTCGGCACCCGGAGGAATTGTTAGAGGAGTAGTAGTAGCAATAACAAAAATAAGAAGAATAATAGTTGTAGCAGTGGTACCAGCTGTAGCAGTTGCAGTTGTAGCACTGGTAGCAAATGTATCAACTGTAGAAGCGTAGCACTAGCAGCAGTAGTGGTAGCGGAGGCCGCAGCGAGCAGCCACGTTGGTAGCGGTCGCCCGTCGCCCGTCGCCCGTCAGCAATCGCCGTCACCATCGCCGCTGAAGCGGTCGTGCTAATATTAAGGAGGAGAGTAAGTGCAGCTGGTGACAACCGGCCTGTCCATCATGGGCTGGCACATCTCCAGGAAGACCTCGCGGTTGATGGTGGAGCCGAAGTCCTCGTCCTCCCAGTTGGCTCAGGATGGTGGTTAAGAAGTTTCGGACAAGGGATTCAGGTTTCAGTGGGTTCCTGGTTTAAGGGTTTGATATTGTTCTAAGGGGTTGATGGGCACGGAAGTTGAGGGGAGTGTGGCCGAGCCGTTCAGTGGATTAGCCAGACTCTGCACTAGTATCGCATCACTACCAGAACCTGCAACGGCTAGCTTCGTTGCAAACGGATCACAAAGCATGACGGCTCTGACACACACGCTAGACTGGAAGCCCTAAGACCCTGAACCCTAAACTTTAAACCCTAAACCTAAAAAGGAACTCTCTGAATTGTTTCATGGAAACCCTCGAGCCATCTCTTTTGCGATGAGCAATTCACAATGCACATCATCGTTCTTGGCGCCTTGTGCCCTGAGTAGGCATACTACAAAACAGGCATGATACTCGTATACTAAATACAGGAAACAACAAGACATTACCTGGCTGCAACTTGGCCTACTTAGGATATTACCCGTAATTTTACTCTTACTCTTGCTAGTGCTACTGCTTTTGCTATTACTGTTACTGTTACTAGTATGCTTAATAATCCTATTCCTGTCCTATCACTATTACGTTTACTGTTCATATCTCTATTGCTCTTGCTGTCACTAGCACAGTTACAGATCAGTTACTGTTACTACCGGTAGCTTCCCTAAATCATGGGACCCCAACATAAAACCCAAAATACTATAATCCTTATTCTGGATACCCTCAATTTTGGGAAACTCCCTGCTCTCATGGATTGCGGGCTCGACCAGGTTGAAGCTCCAAAGCCATTCACCCCAATGTTCAACCCAGACCCCTGCTTCATAAACCCCCTCCCCTTAATAGGGAGCATAATAGGGAACCTAATATTCAGGCCCTTAAGAGGAGGGGGGTTATTAATCATGGGGGGTCTACGTTAGTCTAAACTGCTCTTACAATTGCGTTGCTGAAATCGAGATCGTATGTCAAGTGTCCTGACAATTGCATTTCTTTTTTTGTGCGGAGATCTTCTTATAACCAGGGACTACACTCCTAGTATCCCTCTAATAAGCCCTATAATACTCCTAACCCTAAACTTAAATCCTAAACCTTATATATATAATATATTCCCTATATAACCCCCTTTAAGGAGTTTAGACTAAGCTCAAATGAGTTGGGCGCATCTGATATGGAGGGACGCGGGTGCTAATATCCCATAAACGACCCGCAATAGCGCCAAGAATTACAGAAAACCAGGGTTTAGGGTTTAGGGCCCTAAACCCCAAACCTTGCCTTGTGCACCAAACGCTGTCCCCTCTGAAGCTTTTCAAGCTCACCCTTCTACAACCCTCATATGGAACACGATACTTCTCTGTAATCCGAGTGTATCCGTGGGCACCCTGCGCTAAAGCCTAAGCCCCAAACCCTAAACCCTGATTCCTAAACCCTAAACCTGATTCCTAAACCCTAAACCCTAAACTCTAAACCCTAAACTCTAAACCCTAAACCCTAAATCGCATTTTGAGAACCCCGCAGCTCATGGCCTCCATCAGGCACTCCACGGACAGCTGCGCCTGGATCCAGCTGGGGGTTTAAGAGTTTCCCAAAATTAGGGGTACCTTATTATAGGTGCTCTATAGGGGTTATAGGGTTTAGGGTTTAAGGATTAGGGTTTAGGGTTTCCCAAAATTAGGGGCACCATTTTGGGGGTCCCATAATTAGGATTACAATATATTGGGGTCTATATTGAGGTCCCTCTATTTGAAACATTCGGGTTTTGTTTAAGAGCCCCCCTGTTAAGGATTGTAATATGTAGGTCTATGTTAAGGCCCCCTAGTTTACGGACAGTATAATATAGGCCTTTGAATGAGGGGTGCTTTAGCTTTTGCATGCCAAAATGAGAACGCAGAAGCCGCTCCGCCCTTGAAACCTGAGTCAAGAATCAACACCCCAAACCCTAAATCGTAAACTCCCTGAACCCTAAACCCTAAACTCCCCAAACCCTAAAATCCTAAACCCTACACCTTTTGCTTGTGCCTCCATGTTCGCAGACAAGATCTTCTTGGTCTTGGTGACGGCTTCCTGGCGGCCCAGGGCGGAGCTAGTGTTGTTAAGGGCAATGATGCTAGGGTGTAGGGTTTAGGGTTTAGGGGCTTAGGGCTTAGGGTTTACGGCTTACGGTTAGGGTTTAGGGGGTCCCGCCCTATCTTGAAAAGCACCAAGGACCCGCCCAGTACAATTGGCCGGGCGACATTCTTAAAAACAAGTCAGGCTTCCGGAAAAGATTTTGGGATCCTTAGGGGCAGATGGAAGGTTGCCTGTTTTTTCTTGTTGGGTCTCCCAAATATGAAAAGCCGTCTGATAACAGGATCCCCCAAAAAGACCACAATCTTGACAAACCCCCTGTATGATGTAGCCCATTCCGAACTTAGGGTTCAGGGTTACGGCTTCTGGGTTCGGGATTTAGGCCTCAGGGCTCGTTGTTCATTGCGGTTTTCCCGGAATGAAACCCTATTCCCTGGGAAAGTTGGTGCATGCATTTTCGGATGTTGCCGTGCTGTGTTCACTATCAGAAGCTTTTTCGACATGCTTACTCATGCCCACTCAGAAAAGGTGGCGTAGGTTACACAGACGAACACCTCACCATAGGCACAAAATCGATGCACGAAGGCCTCAGAAATCCTACATGACCATTCTGCCCTGGCATTCCTTTCATAAGACCGACACCCCATAGCTTCCGGCAGGCCCCTCGAAACCCTACATCCGTTCAAGCCACAGGAGTAATGATTTTTTGGGGGGTTGAACCTAGTAAGATACTATTCCTAATATAAAATACTATACCCCAGAAGGAGGAGATAATCTTACTCTATGTTGGGTACCATAGTATCCCCAAATAAAATACTACTCAGGAAGCCCCAAAAGGTGCCTCGAGCTTGAAGGCAGCCTTCTTGCTGCTCAGCGGGTCGCAGCCCACTTTCCTTCGGTTTGGGGGTACGGGAATGGTTTGGGGTACAAAGGTTGCGTTGCTGTTAAGGAGCTTAAACTACGCTGCCATCATGGGTATATGTAATAATTAATAGGGTTTCCCCAATAGAGTAAATTAAATTAAGGTCCTGAACAGCAAGCCAGAAGGTTTGAGGGTTCAGGGCTTCAGATTCAGAGCGTAGTGTTAAAAGTGTAGGGCAAAAGGCCACGTGTCATGCCTCATTTATGTAGGACACTACAAAGCCAGAATGTGGAGAATCACCAATGCACGGACGTAGCATAGAGAACTTACATGGGGTTAGAGTTTCGGGGTTGAGGCCTTGCATGAAAACTCTCGCGACAGTTTTGAAAACTATTGCAAACTGTCAATCCCAAACCCTACAATATATTATAGTATATTATAGTATGTTATTTTTATTATAGTATATTAAAATATATTACAATATAGACCCTAAACCGCGCAGTGGAAAAAATCCCAATCCTAGACCTCGCAAGGCCTTGCTCAAAGCTTTCGGCATGTTTCTTCGCCCCTGTGATGTTTGTGGGGAGAACTCCAGGGCTGGGAGAGTCGATCATCCAATCATATCCAAACTTGGGGTTATGTAGGGATAATGGAGAAGGAAGTGGAAACTACTATTTAGGGTTTAGGGTTATATTGGGGTTGTGCTTACTGGGATAATGGAAAATAAAATGGAAACTACTTTTTAAGGGTTAGGGTTTAAGGTAGTTCCCCCACTACGGGTCCTGTTTATATACCTCCTCACTATAGAGACCTTCAAACACAGTCTTCAAATCTTTGGGGAGTAACAACACTTTTGTTTGGGCAAAAGCCTGGTAGCTTCAGGGCTTAGATTTCAAGTTTAGGGTTCAGAGTTTCGGGCTTCAGGGTCTACGATCTTTCAGGTTTCAGGTTGATGTGAGGGGCTTATACTTAGAACAATGGAGAATCAAATGAAACATGGGAAAATGGAAGCTGGGTCCAAATAGGGGCTCTGTAGGCTTACATGATGGGGCCCGGCCTAGAGCAGATCATCCCTTCATACTTCTCTCAAACATATCCCCTGACCCGCACTATCAAACATATCCCCCAATACAAGCTTATGGGGACGTATTCAAGAATTATTGGTGGGGGTGGTTAGTAGCAGTATGAAGGGATTGATGAGAACAGGCAGTTAGGGGTGTGTTCTGCAATAGAGCCTATAAGGATGAAACTGGATAATCTGGGTACTTCTTGAGGTTCCCTACATCGCATAATCCCTACTTCACCCCTGAAACAAACCCAGTTGTCGTTTCATTGTCCATGTTCTTTTTTGCTGTGATTCTCCGTGATGGTACCTTAATTTAAATTCCTGGCCAGCACCCCAGCCTAAACCCTGAACTTTATCTAAGTTCTTCAACCACAACCCAGCAAACCCCAAACCCCAAACCCTAAACCCTAAATCCAAACCCTAGATCCTAAAAACTAAACCCGAAACCCTGAGCCTAAACCCTACACCCTAAATCCTAAACCCTAAGCCCTGAACCCAGTAATCTTACAAGTCATTCAGGCTTTCACGTCACCTGAAAGGACAGACATGGGCTGAACCCCTTGGTTGAAACTCTGACTAGAGGCCTGTGCTAATTAGGGTTGAAGATTTAGGATCTAAGGCTCGGGGTTTACTTAGGGTTTAGGGCTTGGAGCTTACTTAAAACTGTTAAGGGCTTGGGGTTTAGGGCTTGGGGTTTACTTCAAACCATTAAGGGTTTAGGCTTTCGGGTTTAGGGCTGGGGGTTTACTTGAAGCCATGAAAAATTCAAGGATTAAAAACTTAGGCAAACCTGAAATCAAAGGGATGCTTCGTGCATTTGTCCATCCAAAGCAGCCTCATGACGCATATGGGAGTGTCTCACTTTTGTGCCTATAGAATCCTCAAAATAGCGCTATCACCCCGGTATACCCTGAAATTCCATAAGGGCCCCGCATGTTCAGAGACTCCCTTATCCAGCGCCTCGCACGCAAGCCACAGACCCGTAAATCCCACGCCCTAAACTCTAAATCTCTACACCCAATATCTAAAGCCAACAAACCCTAAAACCCCAAACACTCTCTCTCGTTCCCTGAAGCCATAGAAGCCTGAACCCTAAGCCCTAATCCGCACTGTAGCTGCAGCCCTGGCGGTTTGGGGTCTTGGGTTCCAAAACCCCTACACTCCCGGAAACTAACATGGAAACCCGAAAAGGGCCCTATAAAGACTACAGTCCTTGTAAAGGGGGGCTATATGGGTTTCCATGTTATTTTGGGGGAGGCTAGATACCCTTGATGCAGGCAAATTTGCGACAACGAACTTCCCTGAAGCACAATAACTTCCAGGATAGAAGGTACTGCAGGTGCAAGTGTACTCCACTAGCAATAGATCATTACGAGAATTGTGTTTGCCAACATCCGTTGCAAGATGGCTTTATCACAACGTGACTCTCCATGCAAGGTTTCTGAAGAACCCCGTAAACCCTAAGCCCCCTTAACCCCCTAAAGATTGAACCCCCTAAACCCTAAACCCCCTGAACCCTAAACCCCCTGAACCCTAAACCCGAGATGAAAAAGGGATCCTTGGAACACCCAGATGACCCTAATGTCTCGAAAGGCTTTCATATTGAGGAAGGCACCTCGGCCATCCCACGTGCCCCAAAGGTCCCTAAGGCCAGCTGATGAAGTGACCCTAAAGCAAGATTCACCACATCCCGGACCCAACAGCATTCTAGGGATCTGGACGAATTTCCCCTGGAGGGCCTGAGGGCCTAAAGCCTAAACAACCCTAAACCCTAAACCCTAAACCCACCAAGGCTCTTCTGGAACTGCCGAGCGAACTCACGCATCAGGCACTCAGTCATCGTCCTTCCCAACTCAGAAGGTCCACGGAAGGGCTTCTCAAGATCAGAGGGTGGGCTTGGGGACCCATGAAAGGAATAAGAATATTCATGATAACGATAATAATAGTAAAAAAATATGATAATAAGAATAAAAAACAATAATCATAGTAATGATCATAATAAGAATATTAGCAATGATAAGAGTATTCATAATAAGAAAAATAAGTTCATGGGAGACTGTTGGGATATATAAAATTGAGGTTTACGTGCATAGAATTTGGGCACGTCCCCCTCAAATCTACTTCCGCTTGTTTTCCAACGGTTCTCTGGCATAGGCCGCCCCATGAATGCGGGTAATTTTCTTCTGCTGGGATATATGGGGTTCAGAACATGCATCTTTTCAAGCTCAGGCGTTCCGAGGCCTTTTTCTTCCCCTTGGCAAATAGGCAATCCCGATGATTTCCGCACATTTTCCTGAACAAGACATTTTCTCTGAACAAACATGATCTTCGATACTCAGACTTGGCTCAAGCCCCACATCCTACAGGCCAAAGGCTTCCATAGCTCGTATTGCGGCGACGCACTTTTTCCTTGCCCAAACTATGGGCCCCCGGTATGGGCCCTTAACCCTGGGATCCTTATACACGTACTATATACCCTATATGTACCCTTAAGGGTTCCTTGGGATCCCACCCGGCCATCACGTGCACGTTCAGCGGGAGGTACGAGCCTCCAAGTGTCGACTGAACGACACGCTCCTGGCTCTGCTCCAAGGTCACCTCCAAGACGTTGGCCACCTTGCTGAACACCAGTCTGCCCGTAGCAGCATCCTTCATCTCGCCCACCTGCTGGTTGAAGGTGGTGAGGTCGGTCGAAGAAAGAGAGGTGAAAGCCTCTGGCAAGTCTAACCTGGTCAAGAAGTTTGATACTTGTTACAATCCTGAAACAGCAGCCGGTTCCTTTTCTTGGCGTAGAGCATTGACAGCGGCTTCTGGAGCTCACACTTCCTAGAAATCCCCTAAAACACTTAAGGGCCCATATTAGGGGCCCATACCTCTACCATTAGAACCTTAAACCCTAAACCTTAAACCCTAAACCCTAAACCTTAAACTCGCGGCCCTAAGCCTAAGGCCTAAAGCAGCTTGCACACATTGCAATCCACTGGGAGATTCCACCTAGAGTTGGAATTAAAGTCCCCAGTTTTAACCCAGCTTAGGCGGTTAAGGGTTTAGGGCGTAGGGTTTAGGGGT